ACTAGAATGGCTATTGCCAAAGACTAGAAAACATGACAACTCTTGAAACTAGACTGAAAATAAGAAAGGAGTTGACAAGAGTGAAGAAGGCTTCACTCTTGTCTCTATATATACTATTTAATTAGGGGCTATGTGGCAACGTTTTATAGGACCTCCAATATGTGTTGACTTTGTAGGACACTTTCCTTGACTTATAGGGCAAGTTTTTCTACATGTGGGCCACATAATTAGCTTGGTCTTCAAGCTAACAACATGTGTGGCACATGGCCAACTTGTTGACCATGTTTCTAATCCAAAAAGTCAATTAAAGATACTTATGAAGTAAAAGCAGCATCTATAAAGCTTCTAGAAAGCTTCCATATCAAATACTATAGAATTAACTTACTTTTATCTATTTTTACTTACTTCTACTTATTTATATATGTAATTACTAGCTTACATGAATATGTCCGTGACATTACTTCATAGTAGCAATCGTGATTAGAATTTGATGTTGCATGGATTACAATGGATTATTTTTTTAGTAGATAAGTATCTTTGGCATCTTATAGTCCTTATCAATTATTATATGGAAAAAAGCCAATTCTACTCAACTTAATACATAAAAAGTTAACTCTATTTATAGACCTCGATGATCTTGATGTTTGAATTCAATGTCTATATAATTAAGTAAAGTTTTTTAAACAAGCCATGTTTATGGCTATCAAGAACTTATTTATTGCTCAACATTATGACACTTAATGATATATTTACATTTGTAATGGAGCTTATCAACTTCAATTGCAAAGATTCTCTAAAACAAATTATGTTTATTTGTAATGTAAAGTATCTATAAGATTTGAAATTAAGGTAGAGCATACAATTCTATATATTAAAGATGTATTGTCTAGTGATATTTTGTTGTTGGAAGGTAAGGATGGACAAAAATATTGAGAGCATTCAAAGAATTTTGTTCTTTGTCATCTTCTTATTGATGACTCTATATATCTTAAATTGACAATTGTACCAATTGGTCTTCTTTGTTTTGTATGTAGTAAGAAAAAAAGAGCTACTATCATGCTTTTGTGTGATCAATAGCAATATAGGTGGTATATGGCATATTTGATACTACCTCTTTTGACCCTCCTTTCAAGAAATTGAATATAACTTTATTATAAGAAGTCCTCTAGTCATATCTTATTTCTTGATAAGGATTGAAGATTTCTTCTATTAAATTTGTCACATAATTTGGTAGTTTAGTTGCTACCATAATAATTTGGAGGAGTATAATTTGGCAATAACATAATTATGGCATTCATCTTTAATAATGTGTATTTTATATTCTTAGTTTTTTGGAAGGACTTTTAATCAACTATAAGGGACACTTGAAAGTGTATTAGGCGTGCATTTGTATTTCATTTATATTACATATTTTGTGATTGGTTTCTAGTATTTGATGTATTATGTGTAACAATCTTTGTTTACATGATAGTTGTTACATGATCATGTCAAATATTGCAAATCTTGTCAAATATATGTCATTTAGTTTGATTAGTGGTTTTTCATCCATTGATAGTTTTTTTGTTAATTGACTTTATTCATATCAAGTAGAGTTTGAATACTTAAATAGAAAAAAAAACCTTTGACTTGACATTCTTATTAAGTCAAATCTTATGGATAGTTTTGAGAATGAAAGAACTTATTGCAAGGTTTGCTTAGCTATGGTGATTTAGCTATTTTAATAAAATTTTAGGATATCTCATATTTTTACACTTATACTCTTAGATTCCCTATTTGTGGTATAAGTGATATCTTAACTTAGTTAGGTATAGATTTCTAATCTTTTCTTAAAAGTGTATTAGATGTATATTTATATTTGATTTAAATTACATACTTTTTGATTAATTTGTAGCACTCAATATGTTTTGTCTAACAATCTTTCTTTATACATTAGTATAGAGAGTTGGCTTATTTGAATTGGCAAATCAAAAAAAGTTGATAAATGCATGATATAAGAATTTGGTGAATTTCTATCAAAAGAAGGTTGCTTTAATGTTTCTACTAGAGTTTGTAATTAATAAGATAAGTCTTCTAGTTCTATGTGTTGATTTTTATTTTTTTCAAGTTCTTCTTTACATTGTATTGATATTGTATTTTTTGTTTGTTTATTTGTGCTGCTTGTTAGTGTAAGGAATACATCTTTAAAATTCCTATCATTATTTTTATCTTTAAGATTTTGATAACTTGTCTTTGATTCATAAAAGATAAAATTTCTATTAATAATTATCAATTTTTTTTGTAGGATTATAAATTCAGTATGCCTTGCTATTGTAGTCATATCCAAGAAACATATACTTTCTTATTTTACTATCAAGCTTTAAATGTTGTTTCTTTAGCACATGCACATAAGTTATACAACCAAACATTCTAAAATGGTACACTTTTGATTCTCTTTTTTAGTATAGATCCATTGATATCTTTCTATTTTTAATATTTTAAAGATATAGATTTATCAAATAATTTGCTATATTGATAGATTAAGGCCATAAAATTAAAAATAATTTGCTTTCATAAAGCATACTTCTTACTTTTTTAATTGCAATTTTGTTGTATCTCTTAATAATTCTATTTTATTGAGAGATCAATACTTATATTAATTATCTTATTATTCCATATTTTTGAAAAAAATATTAAAATTCTTGTGATAAAAATTCACCTCTGCTATTTTTTCTCAACAAAAATAATTTTTTACTTGTTTTATTTTCAACTTGTATTTTAAATATGCAAACTTTGGAGAAGGCTTCTCTCTTGATTTTTAGGAAATAAATCTAATTCTTTTAATAATAATTGTCAATAAACACTGCAAAATATTTGGTGCCACTTAAAAAAGGTTTAGAAATTGATTCAACTAAATTAGCATGGACTAATTATAGTAGTTTCTTTGATCTATTAAGACTTTGTTTAGGAAATTTTTTCTTATATTTATGATTTATACTATAAACTTTGCAAATTTCTTTAGATATAATACCAATAGAAGGTTAGTTTTTTATTCTCTTATTTGTATAAAGTTATCTCAAACTTGAATAAGTAAGATGTCCAAACCTATTAAGCTACAATTTGGTCTTTTTGCAATGATTGAATTAACTATTGATAAATATTAGTTTATACAATACAAGCCACTACTTGATTTTTAAAATGTGATAATAGTCACTTTTTGTTCTCTTTTTTGATTAATTATTCAATACTTATTAATTAAAAAAATGAATATTTTTTCTTCATCTCTAAATGACGAACTTACAATAATTTGTTTTTAATGAAGATACAAAAAAAATGTCATTTATCTTCTTTGGTTTTCTATTATTTATTTTTACACAAATCTTTCCTTGTTTAGATGTAATATGTAATTTACTATCTTTAGCTATTATTTTGTAGAATTGATTTATTCATTTGAGATAACTTAATGCTGATTTATTGCTTGCTACATGTTCTAAAGTTCCACTATTAAGATACACATTGAAATATTTCCTTTTCTCCTTTAAAGTTTTGGTAAGATTAATTTCTTTTTCTTGAAAAAAAAAAAAAAAAAAAAAGTTTTATTCAAAATTTGATGAATTATCTTTTGCTTTAATTATACTTGCTGCAAGATTATTGATATTTGGTGGTGATTTTTGGGACTTGTATTTTTTTGCCATATGATTTGGATTTTCATAAAAACAATAATAAATTAAGCACACACATCAATCAAAATGAAGACTTTGTGTGATACCTCATCTTTTCAAAAAAAGACATTATCCTTGGCTAGATGAGAAACTCCCTTAGCCTCTTATAAATCTTATATTAAGTTCAATTTTTAAAGTTTGTATTAATAGTGCCTTACTTTCAAAATTGACATTGGTATTTGCTCTTAGTTATAGTCTATGTGTCTTTATTATAAGTCTTGATGATATTTTTTCAAAGTTTGGAAATTGATATGTTGATGTTAAACTATATATTAGACTATCAAAAGAAGGAGGAAAACCATTCAAAATAGTTTGTACAAAGACTTTTAGCTACAACTTTCTCACTAAGTATAATAAGTTAATTCTTAATTTTTTAAGTTGTCCTCAAAAACTCTTCCATAAAAGTAATCTTTTGAAATTTTAAAGGTGATAGTTTGTAGTTAAGATTCATTACCATAGCAAGATCTCCATTTTCATATTCATCTTTCAATGTCTTCGATGTGTCTCCAAGGTCTTCATATTTTTTGACCATATCTACTAAACAATCTTATATAGCTAAAGTCAATATTTTCATTATCTTTGTCTCATTTCTTGTACTTACATTTTTAACAACATGTGTCTATTATATGAACATAAATATATCAATGGTGTGAATTTCTCAACAATGAGATTCCACAAGTTTTCTATTTGCAGAAATATCTTCATCTTCAAGTTCTACAAATGGAAATTGTCTTTACCAACCAATTTGTTGGCCTTGCCAACTTGTAAGGGATCACTTGAATTTAATATATTCACTAGTTAAGAACTCTCTTTTAGCAAATAAGAGGTACACTAATTTTGAAGTGTGTCTCTCATGAACTCTCTAAGCCTTGCTCTAATACCATGTAGAATTTTTTGTACATAATAAGAGAAGTTATCTTTTTTTGTATTGAAATAATCATGTATACATTTCAAACACGATATGTTTGAGGAGATCAACATGCTTTTTATTTTCAAAAAATGTGTTCGAACTATGAGTCAATATTGATCGTATCTAATTCATACCCTGATTGTGTTGAACATTGGCAGGTATGATGTTCATACATGTATAACTTGGGTATCTGCTTGGTATCGGCCTATTGGAACAATTTTTGCCAATAGGTAAATGTTTGCAGCTATGAAGCAGTAGTACCAGATATCCTAAGCTGATGACTAGCTCAACACAAACTGATAGAAAATCAATACAGGTAATGCTTCCGTCACCCGAATTGTGTGAAGCTCACTTTGACTCTCAAAAACACACTAAATTATTTGACACAGTAGTTTGGAACAAGGTGCATTGATTCAGAATAATCCAGTCACGAAACAGACAAGTATGCATACTAGCACCAAACCGCACAATGGGAAATAGAAATGTTTGCATAAAAAATTCAAGCTAACATCAAAGTACGATCTAAAAAGAATCTGCATCTATGAAGATTAGGTACCGTTTGGAATTCATACTTCACAAAGGGAGTGTTGCCATCACATCTCGTTAAACCAAAATGATGGACTAATCAGTGGCTTATGAAAATTTCCTCTTCTATACGGAATAAAATTCTTCATCGAGGAACTCTCTGGTTGTTGTAGCTGCATCTGATTGAAGCTGGAATGTAGCTGCAGGTCGTCACTGAAATCTCATACAAAATCGAACAACATGAGTGAACGAGACTAAGAATCTCCATTTTCGATTTGTTCAGTTCAGTTATGTCTGGAGTTGCGCAAACTAAACACTGGAGCAAGAACGAAAGCCAGAAAGTCCAAATTCAAGTGAACCAATTCAACCATTACAACGCGCAGCTATTTGATTGCCATCGAACTCTCTGTTTCTCATAATCAAAGACGAAGAGATGTTCTCTCATCATATCAGCTGCAACCAAAGGCAAACACGAACTACATTGTCAATGGCAGAATTAGAAAATAAAGATGCAATTTGCTTCACATGTTAGGAAAAGAACACTTGGAGAAACTTTGAACTACAACACGCAAGTTGGCATATCTACAAGTTCAGACTGCTCCTCGAGCATCTTTTATATTCTCTTCGCGTGATATCAGAAAGAATGCGTTGAGTTTTCGAAAGATTGGTTACTGACCCCCAAGGTTAGATACTGAAGTTCCAACACTGTAGTCTTGAAGGATGTTCACACAAAGCTTTTTCACTTGTGCCTGCATAGAGAGGCAAAACACCAACAAGGAGCTGAATTTTCATCAGAGACTTCTGTTTGCAATTCCCATGCAGAACATAGCTGAAGCTGTTGCTTACATATCCCCCCAAATAGTGAACAATGCTGAGAAGGACTTCCTTGAACTGGTCAACAGTTCCACAATTTTATCTGGTTTTGCAATCTTGATAATAAAATTTGAAAAAATTGAAAAAAAAGAAAAACACAACAAGAAGTAAAATTCAGGGCCTGTGATTTTTTTTCTTTTTTTTTTTTTTTTTTTTTTTGTGTGAGTGTGTACTCTTATTATGCAATCTAACCGAAAATTTGACTGATAAAATCAAAAATTACTTTGATGTTACAGAACATGAAGCCTTACGTCCCAAGACAAATAGTTTTCTGGATGCACAACGAGATACTGAAGAGGAGCTGACTCCGTGGTGCTAGGTATCCCCTCGAATGCCAAGACAAGGGGCAGAAAGTCTTGAATTGGTGATCCTCCAGTCTGTAGACTTTAACCACATTTAGCTGCAAAGGAAGATTCATCCTGTGTGGCCTCGTCCAGCACAATACTGTACTAAATTCACCGGCAGCCTGAACCTTGACCAAAGATAGCAAAAATGTATATCTCATATGACACAACCATTTTGGTCATTTCAACTGGTCTATAAACATAGAAAAGAAGAAAAAAAAATCACAAGTGTAGAAACAAAAGCTTTGGAATTATTTGGTAAAGAAAAGGATAATGCACTAAGTGACAAACCATCGTCTTCCGAGGGGGTTCCCAGCATACTCTTTGCTCATTAACAACGTATTTATCATTGTCTTCCACTCTAATGTATCCTCTAAGCGTTGCATAGTCCTCAAGCTGCTCCCTAAGTAAACAGCATTTCAATTCAGAATGTTCCACGACATAAAATTCAATCCAAGAATACACATGAATACATCTGGGTACTGCACCCACCTTCACATCAAAGAAATTGTTGTGTAATGACGTGATTTGTATCTCTAAAGAACCCGCTCTGACTAAACAAGGAGCAAATGGTCTCGAAATAACTCACCATCCTTAAAAGTGGGTCGTAGAAAACTGCATCAAAATACGTCATGTCGCTCCCGGTGTCAAAAAGCAGCGAGATTCCAATGGACTGCCGAGCAAATCTTGAGCTGAAGACTAAAGCTTTGTCGTGAAATGAAATTGATAGTAGTTTTGCAGCATATCCGCATAAAACACTATACACATACGAAGTGCACTATTTAAAAACTCCGTTCATTAGCTTTGGTTACAGATTTCAAGTACAATGGAAAGTGATAGAGTTAAAATGCGCTAACTCAAGAAGTCAAAACACGTAACTGAGAAAGCATACCCGCTTTCTGCATCTGCCAATTTTGACCAAACCGAATTACGGTCAAACTGCTCTTTGAAGTCGTTGCCGAGGGAGATGAAGCCCCTAGGAGTTGCTGGACTAATTGTAGTGTTCCGCTCCAATTCTTTTGCCAAACAAACAGCAAGTACATTCTGGCTGATAACGTTGCTCTTTGACCAGTGTTCCATAAGAGTCCCCTTGCAATTGCCGAGACCAATAAGGCCGTCGGTAATCAACGGGACTTGTTCAGAGCCTTGAAGCACCTTCGAAACTACACAACTGACAACAGCACAAAATTCCGGTGTTCACTGGATAGTATAATTGTCAGCAAATTCCGGTGTTCAAAATATGCTCTTCTTAGTCTACATCTGAAATCAAAGAAAAATCGGGGGAAAGAGAATTTGCTGCTAGCGCATGTGCATCCATTGACGTATTTCCTAATCATCAGGTGCAAGTGTAACCATTATCAATTAACAAACCCATAAGAGAGGAAAACACCACTTCATCCGCACAGTGATGCCATTATCAATTCAGGTTTTAAATTGTGTAAGACTGAGGTAAGTACCCTAATAAACCCAACACGTTCGCTTCACTTTTGTCTTGCAGCGGCACTGTAAAGTTTCCATGGACAAAAACACCTGAATAATAAGAATTATCTGCATAATGAGCAATAAATACGCACAGATACTTGTTATCACTATTACACGGTTCTATTCCATTTTGAACTGCTTCACATAAACTCGCTGTTTCCCCTATGCACTTCAAGTAAGAGTAATCTTCAGGCACAAACAATCCATGGGGTCCCTGCATTTAGGGGTTTATGATGCAAAGTTGAGCGCTAATTCTCCTAACTTCAGGTATTCAAATTTCTATGCGTATAACACTGTATAACCTCCCTTTAATTTCAAAAATCAAACAGTCAACAGCTAAAGTCGGTTCTTGATTACCATTATCCGCTGCCAGCATTACGACTACTAGAGACTAACAGGAAAGGGAGGTACTTGCCCAATAAGAAAGTTCCAACATATAGTTCCGAGGATTGCAGTATACCCACGTGTGTCCACTCCCAGTGTCGACGTGAAAGTGATAACTTGTAGGAGGGAAACCCAGTTTCATTTCAATGTAGAAGTGCCCTCTGCAGTGTATTGTATACAAAAAAATATTCCTTGAAGTGCTGAATTATAACATCACTGCATAGAGCTTGACTTTCGACGTCACGAATCCTATAACTCACGACACAAGGATGAGATAAACCAAGCACAGGAAAAAGGGAGAACATGAGTATAAATGGCTCAAGTACATGTCTATATGATTTGATGAATATCCACCAAGGATATTCAATAATAAATTAGACTCTTCGCGAATCTCCCTTCTAATTGCTCCCCTGCCGCCATACCACATTTCACGGCCTCCCATTTCAGCACTGTCATTTGGAAAATATGTGTAGTGGTATAATGGGAACACAACGCCATGCGTGCTTGACTGAAGGTTATCGGATAGATCAGGTCCTGACAAACTCATAGGTCGTGAAATCAATATGATAATTGAGATAATCATGCTGCAAACCGCTATTGACGTTAATCTTCCAAATTTGTGCGCTTCCCACCACCGTTCAAAATGCACGGATCTCTGCACGAATACATCCCATTTCCAATCCATGTTCCATTTTTAAAAAGCAAATAAATCTTGGGACAGGTTACAAATCACCGTTTGCGATACATGAACCCTATACCATGCTAATCCACAACTCCTTCCTCTTTCTTCAGGTGATTGCGGGGTCAAAACACACCAGAAAAATCCTTGTCATTCAACTTGTACAACTAGCAACATTCCCCACTCTGAACAAGACTGAACTTCAATGATGAACCAATTGGCAAAGAAGATCTTCACGACTTAAGAAAAACCCAGCATTCCGCAACCACTATCAGATGGAACATCTGTAGATTGTATGGACAGATCAACCTCACCCGGATTGCATCGCCTCTGTGTCTCCATGCAACTGCTGAGTTGTTACTAAGGCCTCCTCGCCTCATTGTTTACTCAAACGCTTACCAAAAGGGTGCTCCCATAGATCATGTTTCCCTTTCCACGTCAACTATGACCCACCCCTCTTGTGTAGAGCTTAAGCATAGTGACATTTCATTTTCGTAGGTCGGTGTATAAGTGGTATCATAGGGTGCTTCTGACATCAATCTTCGGTGAGAGATACCCTAGGCTGATAGATGGAGATGTCGACGACCACGGTGACCCTAATTACATGATTGCAGATGATTACCATTTACTTTCCTGTGCTCGAGAAAAATGTAGCCTCGAAAATGGTATTTGGTCACGCTCAGAGAAGACGAAGTTGAGATTCCACGTGTTTTAGTCTTGGTAAAGGCTTGACAATCATCTGGTATCTTCCATAATTAAGGAACAAATTTATTACTTGCTTGCAACTGACCACTCTGCTAATCCCATTCGTTTGCAAAGGCCTGAAGTTACATTATAAATGACGTGCTCATTCCTTGCAAACGATGCATGCAAACGAAGGTGTCGCAGAAACTTGCAGAGTAGACACAACTGGACCATGCATGAGGTCTTGGTTCTCAACATCACCAAACGCACAAGACCGTTCCTCTCGAATCGAACTATAATTCGGCCTTCATGGCGGTTGATAATAGCACGTAAAAACGGAGCCACAACTCAGACGCACTAAAGCGATCAGAACACAGATTTCCACTCTACATGCCTCCCGTCCAATTTAAAGCACCGGAAAAATTTCAAGCATGCATGAAATCCATTCAGGAGGTTTCGAAATCCAAACGGGGTAATTGTGTGCTTTTGCTCAAATGCTGAACAATTCTGCCTCATGGAAAAACATTACGAATTCAAGGATAAAAACTATTGAACAAGTATTCAAACATAGGTTAAAACAAGTTTTAGAACTTTTCTGTTCTTGAAAAAGCCTCCAATGGATGAGAATAGGAAGAATTCAACTGGAAACATATGATCACTGTTAAAAGGTTGTATTTTCTTACCACTAGTGCTTACCATGTCTAACCAAACAGCCCCTCGCCTCAAAGCTCCACTCCTTTCAGCTCATGCTTTCTTTGTTCTTCCGAGTGATCAGGGCTGGGAATGTGTCGCCACATTCACAAATCCTGCTCACATTGGGATTGAAACGCAGGAATGAACTGCTTGGCCTTTGGCAAAAAAACCTCATTAAATTAATCATGATTAAGGGTTTGGTCAGCTGTAATATACTTCGAAAGATCTTAAGAGAGCAGCCAGTTCAAAAACTCGAAACCTTAATCAAATAAAGTTGGCCGTTCCACGAAAGTTGTTGCTGGAAATTTTCCTTAAATTGCCTGCGTGATAAAATTACAACTTACGCTAGGCTGCTTCTCAAAATAAGGCCAAAATCTTCTCAATTGGAATTCTCAAGGTCTTAAAAATCATATCTTTCTCATGAATGGGTGATTTTCTGGGAAGAAGGGGCTCCTTCGCAAGAAACTCTGCCATTGCACAACTTGATGACCACATATCAACCGCCCTTGAATACTGTTTCACTCTAAGTAGTACCTCCGGACAACTTAACTTATATACTCCTTCAAAGGATCTCCATATTGACGCGCAAGACCAAAGACGCAGGTTTTGGAGTCCTCCGCGGTTGTTCAAGAAAGGTTTGATGTTTTCAAATCCCTGTGCAAGTCCCGATTATCGTGTAGGCACTTAACACCATCAAATAATTTCCACAATTAGGCACTTAACCTCACTTTGGGTAAAAGGTTGTTTCGTGGTCTTGATCAGGCCCTTGAAGCCATGTTCCATAAACTCCATAACTATGAAAATATGGTCCTGACTTACCCCAACAATAACTACCTTAGTGTCGACAATCTACGGATGGTGAAATGATAACAAGACATTGATTACTCGGAAAGAAGTCATAGGAATCGTGCTTTTTCCTTCTCTGTCTTTACCTTCTTCAAACGAATTTCCCTGTTTTCTACTCTTTGGCACGGAACAAAATTCCATAAGTTCCCTCATCTATCTTGTTCAGTTTTTATAATTCATCAACTGATGTACGACCTTTCAAAAAGATCAATTGCACGATACTCAGGATCGCTTTGGACTAGGTTTTCTTCTGGCTCTGAATCGACCTCAGTTGCTTCACCTCGACGACCCCGACCTTTTATCCATCACACAATCACACAGACTAGGGGACACTACACTCTTCCCTCTCAAACTTACTTGTGACCTTACCTGATCGGAAAGACTCGCAATCGAGGAAAACCTTCCCACTACCTGAGCAACAGGAGGATTCATGGGATTCTTCTCTTAAAGGAGATCCCGTTGCGTTTGCATCTGCATTAAGAAGAGATGGATTAAGAGACGTGGGCGGGGACGGACTACTAGATGAACGCTGATGTGCATGGGTAGGAGCATTTAAACCAAACTTGATCGGAGGATGGGGCGCTGATTGTGAATTTGAAGCTTGTGGTAAAGTTGTAGAGTCCACTCAGTCTCAAACTGTAGAATTGAATTAGTGCTACTTCTCTGGCTATACAATTTGATCTAAGACGTAGCCAGTGCTTCCAGAATCTATGGTTGCTTTTGGTTGCGAATCCCGATAAACTCTTCAGTCAAATTCTCCATTCTTCTTCTGAGTTGAGGTTGTAATTTCTCCAGGCTCTCCATGAGCCTCTGTTGCTCGCACTCAACTTCTCCGTTCTCTTACAAGCCCTTTTTTCTGTTCCTTGTCCCTACTGGAATCTACTTCTAGAATTCTCTCTTTCCCTCTCATCGTTATCGTCTCTGCCTTCACTATCTCTAAGCCCTTCTCGGTCGTGGTCACTAATCCTGACATGCCTCCAATTTTACTGTCACTGATCCAATCTCCATCTCACAACGCCTATTATCCCATGGGACACCGCAACCCCAATATTGCTCTATCCGAAGGTCCTTCGCGCTGCCTGGACGATCTCCATAACAAATTGACGAGAGACGTGACGTTCTGCCTAGAATCCGCAAATGTGGAGACGGTAAAGGCATTGTATAATTGCCCTTTTCGGGACCGCGTCTCCAGTGCGCTGAGCAGATCACACAAAATGTCCAATCCAACAAGCTTTAAAATCCACACAACCGCTCCCCGCTTAAGCATTCCAGCACCACAACTACCCGCGTCCCACCCAAACTCAAATCCTAATTGGAATTTCACAGCAAACAAATACAACCAGCTTCATGAAATCTCCACAACATAAACAATCAGCAAAACTCGAAATCCAAAGTGCCTCAATTGAGGAACACAAACGATTGTCCTAGCAGGTACCGGACACAACATGACTAAAACAAACTGACTGGACCATATTTGAACTCAATTTCACACCGAATGACGTACGCCTGCTTCGTGAGGAATTCAAAGCTGTCGAATGACTGCGAAACCAGCATGACTCGATTCGAAGATTTCCGCCAAGACGAAGCATTAGTGACAAGAAACGCACAGAGGATGAAGATGGTGATGAATTTCTTCTTGGGGTCCACGTCGGCGCCACCTCAGCACCTACCCTAATGTGGACACGGAATGAACGTTACATAATCTCCCGCGCTCCATTTCCCGCCTATAATTTTTTGCGGTGGCTCTATGCTAGCGCTCCTGCTCCGAACGGCTCTTCCCTGCCCTCAGTGCCCACCGTCAACCGTCCTCATCTGTCTCGTTGGTGTTTTTGTTGCGTCTTCCGAGAGGTGAGGGCGAAGTTTGGACTTAGTGCGTCTCTTTTTGCTGTTGTTGCGAATCAAGAATGGTGCGTTCTGAACCTAAGTCGTTCCAGTGAGGAGTTCAGTAGCATGGGGTTTGAGTGCAGAGAATAAGGCAGGGTGTTGACCACTTGAGGACATGGTTTGAGGGTTGAATGACGCGCCAGCAAAGAGAACACGCGAGAAGGTGAAGTGGAGAGTGTGGTGGTGGCTGTTATTGGCAGACGAGATGGTGATGTTGCCCGCTGTAGATGTTTTTGTCCATTGGACGTAAGACGGGGGACGCGGGGGCGTCTGCGTATCGAAGAGCGTGGAAGTCTAACGTTCACTTCATTAGTTGAAGCGGGATATCGTAAGCGGAGGTATGAAGGGCGCGACAGTGCAAATTGCTTGGCATGGCTCGGAGCCAGTACTATCTCTTGATTTCCATCCTCACTCTGGCCTTCTCGCCACTGCCGGTGCCGACCACGACATTAAGGTTGTGCTTCATCGTCATGTCAGATGTTTCAAATCTACGATTAGGCAACCCATGTAGCTTAGCATAGCTTGATTCTGAGCATGTGGATGTTTTCGAGAATCAGCAGGATCGCCCATATGTTAATCTCTTCTAGACTGTCGAAGTTGCCAATATCCCCGCCTCATCTCATGGATAGGAATCTCGTGTGTCTTGCACCGCTCGTACAGCTCTAGTTGTTTGAATGTGAAACGGACCTTGAGGAAGAGCGTTCCACATCCCTTCCCATCTACTCAATCACGTATTGCGAAACAAGATTTGCCACGAGGAGAAGCAAATCTCACGTCCTCTTATTATCAAATCTCATCACATGTTTGGGCCTCTGTGTTTCAGATTTGGTCGGTTCACCAGAAAGAGTCTGGCTCGCCAACTGTTGAGTTTGAGGCCGACCTATGTTATCACTCAAAGGCAGTGAATGTCTTACGTTTTTCTCCATCGGGTGAGTTTCTTCTCCTGTTCTGTTTTTCCATGTTGCTTGGGTGAGCTATAAATATAATAAATTGCACCTCTCGATTCCGGTCCTATCGAATCAGAAGACGTGAGACTTTTTTTGTAGGACACCAAAATGTTGACCACTTCTACATGAATGTGCAGGTCAATTGCTCGCATCTGGGGGTGATGGTAAGTTTTGTGGCTTTTTTCGGGTTTTAACTCTTGCAAGCTTGTACTTCTTTATTAGGATGACTCCAGTTCGGGAGAATCTACTGAATTTGTGGTAGCTTCCAATGTCAATGGCATTCATTACCGTTTCCACACTTTCTATTACGCACCATTTCTCGGAAATGGTCTCGCGCGTACTTCACGCTAGTCGAATCACTGCAGCCGTATGGCAGCTGTACATGATTACAGCCGCGTGGTAAAGGCGCTCTCTCCTTGAGTGATACGTCGCTTGACTTTTTGAGTTGTTAATCAGCTTCCTGATCATGCAGGCGGTGAGATACTAATCTGGAAACCTATTGAAAGAGCCGATAAAAAGCCCAGCTGGAAGGTTCTGAAGACACTTCAGTGAGTACTGAACTACACTGTAATGCACGTCAATGTCCTGCCGAGAAGATTTTGTTACCTCAACTGTAACAACGGCCATATATTTACGTGTAGTCTCAGCTGAAATTGTATGTTATATTAATCTCCTTAATGTGTTTTACTCTTATGTGCAGGCTACATGTGAGGGATGTTCTGGATCTCGCATGGTCTCCCGACAGCTTGTCGTTGATGTCGGGATCTGTGGATAATCAGTGCATGATTTGGGATGTAGTATCAGGTGACTGATAGCAATGGCTCTTAACTTTACCGGGTCCGAGGCAGGCTGCTTAATGATATCTACATGAAATGCCCTTATACTGTATGGACAAGTACTCTAATTGCACTTCATGTCACGAAAACCTTGACCATGGAACTCATCATCAAAGTTTTTGGAGGTTACGATATGGGGATCAACATAAGTTGTGAGCTAGTCGTAATCTCCGGCGGAGGGCTCTTCCTAAACTACCAGATTCACTAATGGTGCAGAGTGACGAAGAATGTATAAGCGCTTATTGCAGCCAAGGGAAAAACGATTAAGCTATTATGTGAGTGTTTTTGGTCACAGATCTTTCCGTGGTTGCTGAAGGAAGTTTCTTTCTGCAGGTAAAGTTCTACAAGTTTTAAATGACCATCAACACTTTGTCCAAGGCGTTGCTTGGGATCCAGCAGGGGAGTTCTTGACATCAATTAGCTCGGATCGTACGTGCCGGATCTATTCGCGCCAGTCGGTGCCCAAGTCCAAGAAAAGAAAGTTAGCTGTCGTCCAGAATATGTTCACTTGCAAACAAGTCCTTGCTAAATCGGATGCTCTACCGTCCAAGACCAACATCACAATAGATGCTGATGGCAGAGTAGCGAAGGTAATGACTTGACAACCCGATTGGATTGTTCATTGATATTTTTGGAAATGTACTTATCTATTAAGGAAAGTAATCTGCTGCTTTCTGCTGACCCTGGTTTCGAAAAGGATTTACTAGCCTTAACTTTTGAATTTGGGTTGTGTCCAGGCTAGTCAATTATTTCATGACGAAACTTTACCATCGTTCTTTCGAAGGCTTGCCTGGTCACCAGATTCATCTTTCTTGGTTGTTCCCTCAGGTAATGCTTTTGGCGTTGTATAATGTGGTCTCGTGACAATTTAGCACAAAGTTCTAAAGTCGAGAAGTGATGCATTTCAGTGGTTTTTTTTGTCACTAACTGCATTTCTATGATCGTGACAGGTCTGCATAGAATTGCACACGAGGCTCCATCTTGCAACGTGTCCTTTATTTTCTCCAGGAGTGACCTGTCAAGGTACTCCCTGTTCGCAAATTATCTGTTGATTTGGTTGGTTGTCTGCCAAATCGATGTAATTGAATGGTGTGAGTGATGCTCCAGGGACACTTACTGAAATTGTAGCTGTCTGTGGTAAAACAAATCCGTCGATGATGAGTCTCTGATTAGAGTGGTTTCTCCTTCTTTTTTGTCCTTTGTTCAGGCCTTGTATTCATCTTCCAGCTCCAACTAAGCCAGTTGTAGCTGTCCGGTTCTGTCCAGTTATCTTTTCTCTACGAGAGAATGAAACTGAAAAAGGAAGTAGCTCTGGTAAGCATCCTTAATGACATTGGGTTATTTGTGGAGGGAAGTTGATCTTGTTATCCTGCGTTACCAGTCTCTGAGGATGTACTCAGATTTCCTTTCATTCGCTGATATTATTGAGATCCTCGGTGAAGCTATAACTCTGTGGGTATGAATTACAGGATTCGCACTACCGTATCGACTGGTGTTTGCTGTGGCAACACTTGATTCGCTATATGTGTATGACACACAGCGCAGTGAACCAATCGTAATCTTTGCCGGAATCCATTATGCTGCAATAACGGACATTGCATGGTACTAATCTCCTTGAACGTCCACATATTCATGCATGTCGAATTTTTGACATCATTATGCTGCAAAACTTATCTAACGATAGGTTCTGTCGAAGTAGGACCATGAGTTCGTAATGACCTGAACTACAATGAACGCCACCCGTGTCAGTTCTGAAGTTTGGTGCAATGCATGTTGGATCTATGTGCAGGTCTGCGGATGCCCAGTATGTGGCTGTATCATCACAAGATGGCTATTGCAGTTTGTTAATATTCCATGGAAACGAGCTTGGTACAAAGCTCTCCAGCGGTGGTAATTTCTTTCCTCCCGCTGCGCTGCCTCCGTATCCCAACTCAATAGTTTGTAGTTTACATAAGCTGATTCTAGAAGGTTCGAATGGCTACTTTGGTGGTTTTATACTGACATGGAGTCATAGTTGTCATCGAGATGCCTATTTATCTCTTTCAGAGACTGTCACGTGCAAGTCAACTAATCCTAGGGCATCGGTTCCATATCCTTGGTATACTTGTCTGCAGACGTCCCCGCCAATATTGCGAAATTTCTTCCAGAAAACTTGCTAGGAAAACCTCAAGAGTCGTTACCCAACTCAACGGAGCTCTCTCAGGTTTCGGAACCTGTCGGACTTATGAACGAAGAACAGAGTTCCCCCATAGTTATTTGCCCTCGTCCATTGAAGCATCGGCGTATTACACCAACCGCCCTTCCAGCCACCTGTTCTCCAATTGTACAGAAACAAATCGCAGACCAAACGTCAATCACCGTCTCCGACAAAAAACTTCAGAGGATCACTCCAATCGCTCTGACTGAGGATGGTCCCTCAAGTTCTGGAAACTGTTTGGACACAGAAACCGTCCACACGCCTTCAAGTACTCAGAATAGTTTGTCAGCTGTGCAAGCTGCAGATGCAGCCGAAACTCCCGACAGTTCAACCTGTGAGGCGTCTTCTCCAGGTGCTAAGAAACGCCTACGCATCAACCCTATTCCTATTCTTGCTGGTGAAGGAGCCTTGAACTCCGGTGGGAACGTCATCCCGAGACGGAGGCCTACGGATTGTGACCAGAGTGCCTCCATCGCTAAATTTAGGAGCTTAGAGTCATGCCTCCAAGAACAGGGAGTTGCAGGCCCTGCCACAGTGTCGACCGAGTGATCCCAAGAACTCGCGCTGCTTAGCATCTCATCGTTGCAGGTAGACCCACATTTTAACTGGCCCATGTGACGTGGATTGAACGGTCTCAACCCCCGAAAAGTCCCTGTTTCCAAAACCACAGTTCGTGGATACCACGCCCCAGATCGATTGCGGAACAGAGGATGACGTTTGCGGATTATTTCGTATTTTGTGGAGTATTCGTCTCCGGACTTCATGCTTCAGCCATCCTCATGGATTCCATTCATGTCAATCGTCAGGCATTCCACCGATTGTATCCACAGAGAGGTTTTGTCAGTAACATAGTAGCAGAACATTTTTAGGAATTCAGAGTCGCACTTGAGCGATTTAATGTCGTTTTCTTTCATCAGATAGAAGTTGGAGTGAGCTCATGATGTTAAATAGGATTTACCGTGTGATAATTTCGCACCATTGCGTAAATAATGATTACACCAAGATCTGAAATGATCCACTAATTCACTAGCACCTGTTCGTACTCAACCCAACCCAAGTGTTGTAGGTAGATCAATGCATGAGTGTATTCGGTGCATGTTACGCATATAATTGTACATGGTCAAATATGTACACATGCACACACAAATATACGGTATAATTTCATCCATTAACCATGAAGGGTACTTCTGATTCATTTCTGATGGTTGCAACTGGTTTCTGTGAAGTATTCTGTGACACTTAATGGTTAACAGCAGAACAGTACACAGTTAGCGTCGACGTTTTGGAATGCCTGACGATTGATGACAATCCTAGTTACGCAACATGAAACTGTACCTGTATTATTATCAGTTAAATGTGAATAATTAGTCGATTCTGGCTATCACTGAATCACATTTTCTTTAATGACAAATGCCAGAAACTTTCGACCACCATATGAAATTTTGAAAAGAATTGGAGTAATTTCTGCAGTCGAAAAAACTTCATTCAGACAGACCGTGTCCATGTTGCTAAGTGGTTTTGAATTTCAACAATTAGTGTCAAAAGCATTAAAATTACACCATAGATGATCAAGGTGATTGACTTTATTTTTAATCATTACTTATTTACATGTTTAATCACTCAATCATTGATATCAATGTTTATGTGAATAAACAAATAAACTTGTGCCTAGTAATGGCTTTGGAATTATAACAATATTACCATGTGATAGAATTATATCACCATTATTGCTTGGCTTAGGCCACAAGCACATCCTAAGTTGTTACACACACTTCATATTGCTATATGCACATCCAAAAAACATGGAGGCATGTGATTGGTTGGGTGTTTTTATGTGGAACTTGCCACTTGACACAACTATTAGAAATTAGGAGAGCAGGAGCTTCCCCTCCAATAGTCTTGTTGATTGATAAGTAGATAAGGTCAAGAGGTAGTACCCCTCTTTGGAGGCAAAGCTCCAAAAGAAAATTTAAAAATCTACACCTTGTAATGGTGGTACCTTGTAGAAGCAAAGATCTCTACTTCATGGACACCTTCACCAAGAAAGGATACTAGTTTTATATTCACTTTAGTAATCTGCAATGTTGTGCCAAATCTCATGGTGATTTCAATGAACAATTTCAAGCATCCATCCTTGGCCATTGAGGACTGGTCCTTGGACCTTGAGTGGAGTCCAATCAACTAACAACCGTTGCAAACATTGCCTATGGCAACTAAACCATGTGGAGGAATCCCAATTGCCAAGCATTGAGCATCTCATTGACAACTTTAGAATAAGTTAGTTTTTTATGCATCATTTGTTTGTGAATCTTATTCTATACTTTTATTTGCCATAGTGACTTTGGATAAGATGTTCATCAACAATGGCCAATAAGGCCATCCATCACTAGTCACATGATTTGCCTCTAATCACAAGTGGTTTTTTGTTCATCCCATATCATCTTGCAAGTGATGGTCGTTACTCTTCTAATAGGTTAGAAGTAGAGTTTGAGTACTTGAGTGGAGCAACACCCTAATAAAAAGCCCACACTTTTTTAGTATAGAAAACTCAATCATGCTAAAAAGTATAAAAATTAAATTGGTTGTGTCACTATTCAACATATACATATATTTATAAGAATTGGACTATTTTTACATATATATATATATATATATATATATATATATATTGTGCTCAAGATTAATATTTTTAATAATTTAAGAAGTCAATGAAAAACTACTTATATTAAAAGCAATCTTGTATGTACAAATGTCAATCCATTTTTTGCAAATTACTAAGTTTAAAAGTTGATGATATTAAAAAGAAGGTATATTTTATATATGTGTTAATTTTCAAAGTTGGTTAAAATTATATATATATATATATATATATATATATATACATATATACACATGTACATATAGCATGTATTAGACATTATAGTTCCATAAAAGTATAATTATCAAGAAGTCACCATAGAATTAATACTTGGATATGTTGCATATTTTACTTTTTTTGGAATGAATTCAACATTTTAAATGTAAGGCATAATGGCTTTGAAAAAATTAATAAGTTTCAAAATAATAAGTAAAAGAATTTAATATTGTTGACAATGGTGTGCCACAAGCATCTCATTTTTGTACATATTAATAAAATCTGAACTTTTAATAAACATTAATTAATTTTTATTATTATTAGATTAATTTTTTTCTTCAATAAATATATATATATATATATTTATTTTTATAACATTTTGATTGAGATATGTAATTCATGATTTTATATATATATATATATATATATATATATATATATTTTACTTTATTTTTTTTTCTTGTTTTATACTTTAGTTGATTATTATATTTTAAAATTTTTAATTATTGATTTTAATATCTAATCATTGGAAAATTTTTATTTTCATTACAAGATCTATTTTATAATAATTATTTACTTTTAATTAACTTTAGATAAATATAAATTAAAAGTAGATTGGTGTGTTTATATTTGTTGATTGAATATATCAAATAAAAAAAATTTAATTTGTAGCTTAATAAGTTACTTACATAAATAAAATTAGAAAGATAATTTATTTTTATAGAAACTATTACTAGTCAAAGTTTTTACCTTTTTTATATATTTTATGTATTACATTGTAATAACAATGACATTGAAATTTTAGATGGGTTAATATTTGAGCATAACAAATAAGAAGATAAAGGTTATGATTCAATTTTTTATTGTCAACAACTCATATGATTGGTATAATTTGATGCAAAATGCAATCTATATACCTTCTAACAAATAAAAATAATGCAAATTTTTTAAAGATATATGAAGCAACTTGAAAGAATATAGAATGTGTATTTAAACTTTTAATAGAAATATTTGCTATTGTTGCTAATCTACTCCAATAATAGAGCATAATTCTTTTTCAAATATAATATATTCTTGTGCTATTTTGAATATTGTAAAAATTTATTGAAAAAATATGTAGATTAAAAATAATTATGTTTTTGTATACAAGAAGAAATACTATGATTATACTAGTCTTACTATAGATAAAGATTTAAGTGCAATATACATCTCACTTTAGCTTTTTATTGCTTTGTCTTAAAGTATAATATAGACTCTTAACTTTATACAAATTTTAGATCCTAAAATTTTAAATATTAAATCTTATAGTAATTTGATAATTTAATCATGTATAATAGATTTGAGTGTAAAATCTAAAAATTTGCCTTCTTTTTATATCAAAGTACAATATGAAACTATTGTCTTTGGTACATTTTTTTATTGGTACAAATCAAAATTATACCATAAAATCTTAGACTACTCTAAAAAATCTATATATAGTTATTTTAAAAGATATCAATTAATTTCAATGATTCATTTTATAATACAACCTCTTAAACCCTTTTTAAGCTTTCTTATATATGCAACCTAATTCTTTATTTATTTATTTGTTTATTTTTTAATTTTTTTTAATCTAATCTTTTTGTATCTTCTAAATTTAATTGCAATCCACTTTTAGCCTTGCAATCTAATTATAATAATTTTAAAAATCTCACTTCTAATATTTCTTTAATGGTTTTCATTTAAATTTTTTGTTGTTTTTTTTTTGTTGTTTTTTTTTTTAAAAAATTTAATAATAATCTTTCATTAACATTGCAATCAATCTTTATTGATTCTTCCAACCTAGTTATTTTTCCTTGTAAGAGATTAAAACACTGACATGCAACAATTAATTGAACAACTTGAACACATAATTAGATTTTTTGCATTATATTTTTATTTTTATATAGATAATTTTATAAAAAAAAGAATAAAAAAGTACTATCTTTTAATAGACTTAATTTATAGTTTTTAGATTGTATTTATCTTTTCTGCATTAAAATATTCTATGCAGACCTAGATCTAATATCTATCATCAGCTCACTATAATACATTATCTTAATCCTTCTCTTTTATACACTTGATCTTCTTTACCCACACATTTTGTTTAATGCAATTTTGACAACATACTTCTATTTTTACAACACATAATTTACAGCAATAAGCTAAAAAACACATACAATATCCCACTAAAAACACACCTCTGAAATTGGTTGCATATCATAATAACAACAAAATTTGACAATTGACAGAATTTGTATTGAGATGTTTCATGCTATTGATTCCTTGAGTATAAAAATAATCTCATACTACTTTTAGCAAGCCCCACCAAACTTGCCTTGTTTGGATTGGAATGGTCAAAACTAAAAGTAAAGTGCTGTTTGAGCTGCCAAGTCATGGATGGGCAATAATAGAACAATAAGCCACGTCAAACTTTAGGGTTCACATAGTTTCAAGGATCACGGTGGAGATGCACTAACATGTCGGTATGTGGGGCCTTTTGAAAGTTTTGTTGGTGTCGGTAAAATTGGGATGAATCTCGACCAACCTTTGGAGGCCACACTTCTTCATTCTACGGTGTCATTTGCCTGATTCTATAAGCATTCGCCGTAGCTTCCTGACGTGGGCACACTCCTTCGATGACCAGCACCTGCAAGTTCCGGTGATCACACTTTGCAGAGCACTAGCAATTCATCTTTCAATCTTGTGAACTGAATTGAACTAGCCTGGGACCTTTTATTTTGCTGCAAGGTTGCAACAATGCGTTTTTTGGTATTTACAGTTCTATAGTTGCATTGCAATGAACATCCATGTGTGGTGGGGAAAAACACCCCATAGAGTACATTACGCTGCGCTCTTCACAATATCAATTAATTATGTGCTATGCTACGGATCGAGGTTAACTTCATGCCAGATACCATGAACCAGGGGTGTCTAAATCTGGTCAGTGTACAGATCCGGGAGCAATATTGCATGAGGTACACTTCTACAGAAGATTTGATGCGATTCTGTTACCTCTGAGATAACGTTGGAGACGTTTCCCTTGCCTGCAACCTCTTCAATGTAAAGGTGGATCCAACGCGGCCAGCTTCTTATAATCGGCCTGACCTTCATTAGATGAAGATCCTTGAGCAAGCCGACTGTGGCGCATTCCATAGAACATGTACACAAAAACGCCCAGAACCATCCACACGGAAACTCGCAACCATGTTTGAACCCTGCCAGCAATAATCGTACCTGTCAAAGGTCAGGAAACGACATACGGAACTAATCGCCAAAGGCTCATCTGTGACACACCTCGGATACAAAGGAACAAATGAATGTGGCGTAATAAACTGCGAAAGAGAATGCAGAAAATGTACCCCAAATTGACCAGCAGATAAACGTTCACTAGTATGCTTGCAATTGGCAGTGCTGGCACCCATGGGCAGTGGAAACCTGCACATTACATGGGAATAAGAAAATGGCAATCACCTAGCGTTATTGTTTTGTAACGTGAGATTTATTTTACCCAAATCATACGAAAAGCCGTTTTCATACAAACAGCGATGTGAGATTGAGAGGCTGATTGGAAGAAGACGCCTGAAATCAGAAGCCAGGTCAGTTTCAGGTTTCGAGTACACACCTCCAGGTTGTCCAAACTTATCCTGTCCATTGTCTTGCTCAATCAAGCACAGAAGGGTTGATGCAGTAACGAATATTGGGATGCCCGCAGACCCTAACGCCCATCGCAACAACCTGAATAGAACCACATCACGGGAGAATTTCAGTTTGATCTACACAGCTTGAAATACGCAGACATCATTAATCAACCTTGGAGACTTCAAGGAAGTCCAGTATTCCAGCACTAGGCCTCTTAACAAGACCCCATGTATAAAAAGAGCGACAGGATCAAGGCAAATGTGTCTTTCAAGTAGTCGTAAGAACTGGGGTGGATGGTAACGTACACTGGAAGAGAAGTAGCTGCAGTCGCTAAGCTAATTAGCACGACTCCAATAAGAACCCCGCAGATCGCTAGTCTAGCTACACGCCGCCTTGCTTCCTCCCTGCTTGTTTCTGTGACCACGCATGATTTGTTCAAGAAAGATCGGAGTTGAAATCGTTACACAACTAGAGCACAAACTATGACCTACTCTTGAATGGATCACAAACACGAAGACTGGTAGATTAACTGCGAGTTAATAATTTGAAGTACCGGATGTGTTAGGCAGTTGCTCCGGTATCAGTAATGGGTCCTGGAGGTTGATCCTGGTGGAGCTCTGGGGTGATTCAGCCATCGGCGCATCCTCTTCCAGATCTTCAGTCTCATCTTGCAAGACGGATCCCGTGCTGCTAGCCGATGAGGCATAGTCTCCAACAATGCTGCGTTCAGGCAAAGTGTGCAAGGATGCTTCCGATAAGATTGTCAGTACTGGCGAAAAGATGGGATACTGGCTAGTAAAAATTGGCCTCGAGGGAGACTTAGGCACGACTGGAAGTCCCTCTGGCGTGCGTGTACAGACAATTGGCTTGGACGTATCTGGAGGGGAGACATATCTTAGCACCAGAAGGCAAACTGACACGATGGTAAAGGCCGACAAGGTCCCCACACTGACCTGCCAAAATATGATCACAAAAGAATGTCAGAAGCTGAGATGAGTTGATAGATGATGACATCATACAGAACCAGATTTTGATCATTTTGGGTCAATTGGTTGTATCAGATTGTGCCTGTACGAACTCGTAAACACGTTTAGTCTTGTGACACTTCCGTGCCTTAAGTAACTTAACGTCTACCTCCTAAGCTCCCAGCAAGAAGTTGGTTCTTACCAGGCCAGAAAGTTCATCGACATTCATCAGAAATGCCATGAGTGCCGCAATAGCTCCTGTCAACAAAGTGCCATTGACTGGCACAGAAGTCTTGGGATGAACGGTGGAGAAGAAAGGTGGGAGCAAACCGTCACGCGCCATAGCCATCAGAATTCTGGGCTGGCCACAGACAGCAGAGTTAGGGGAAGAAGTAGTCCTTCATTTCACCAATGACATAAAACAGATGCAATGCAAAGTGAGCATCACTCGAATACCCCGCGTATGAAACGTCATTGTATTATGCATACGGTACAGAACAAGGGCAATCTCAACTAATGAAACTACAGCTAGGAAACAAACACCAACATGTCTTGTAAAATTGCGAGGCAAATGGCATATCGAACCTGAGGTAACAAAGATCCCATGAGAGTTGTAGCTAAAGCTGCAACGGCACCAGCAGCAACAATATACCTAGAAGAAAAGTAGCAGTTAGCTCCAACATAGGAAAAAGATCGGACATTCTGAGTGGATGTTCATTGATCCATCCACTAAACTCATGGCAATATACATCTATTCGATTGAAAAGGTAACTTATCTCGAGACTGATAAAAATGAGTCAATGCAGACGATGTTCGTTACAGTGATCGAACCATTCAACCACGGTCTATGAAGCCCTTAACACTACCAAGATCAAAATCAAGTGAATCTGGGATCTCGAGATTATACATGGCCCAGGGCATGCCGTTCTCCGCAAAGGCAGTAGACATGGGTGTATCCGGGTCCATCATATTGTAGGGAACAAGACCCACGATGACGCCAGAAACCAAAATATAGAGGCCTGCACAAATGAATAATGCCAGCCCAATTCCAAGGGGAAGGTCGCGCTGAGGATTCTTGACCTGTGAAAAAACGTGATTAGTTCCCATACGTGTACGTTGACCATGTCCCATTGCACATATTTGTCAGCAGCCCAGCATGCTCTTATCCATCCAAACTACTTTGGGGTGGACCCAGACAGTGAGAAAACTGACTATGCATAATTCAGATGATTATCCCTTCGAGGTGTTCAGGTTTAAAGTATTTAAGAATTGTATGTAAAAGAAAGGAAAACCTTCATACGTATGTATCAGTTCTAAACGCATTCATGAAAATGATATCAGAAGAGATGGAACTGAATTGTAGTGGAATGGAATGGTTACCTCTTCCGCAGTGCTTGCAACAGTGTCGAAACCAATGTATGCAAAGAAAAGTGTCGCAGCGCCTCCGAGCACTCCATTGATTCCAAATGGAGCGTACCTGGTCAGCAGAAAGTTGACAAACCCTTGGTCCTTTCAAATGCCGTCTCATTTAGACAAAGCCATTGACGAGCAGGGTACAGACAAAGCCTATATTAGTATGCAAATTAACATTGCATCTCTCTCCCAGAGAACCATCCCCACTCAAAATTGCCACACAAGGTCTATAAGCAGACGTGCAAAGATCGGAAGAGTATGCTCGCAGGGCATTGAAAGACTTACCCGTCAGGTTGCTCGTAACCTTTCCAGCCATTTCTGAAGCCTGCATAGGAACCAGCACCCGCAACAAAGAGCAGAACGGTTATGTTGAGGACTACCATAGCCGCTTGCACCCTTGCACTCTGCCAGTATACAAGCACCCTTAAGTTTGATATCCAACATCTCATATACAAACAAGCCAGAAAACAGTTTAGTGATCAATTCCAAATTGTACGAATCACCTGAATGTTTACCAATCAATCTGACAGCACTGCTCCATAAGCGCATGATCATTTTCCTAAAAAGGGTAAAGGATTTGGAACCATACCTCTCGAATACCAATGCAAAGCAGAGCCGTGACAACCAGCACCAAAAAGGCAGCACATGGGTCGACAACTATCTCTGTTTCGGGTATAGTTTGCCGCATCAGAAGCCATGGCAAGTTTTCTTCGCCTCCAACAAAAACGCCCTGTACAGTCGAAACGTATTGAGAATATAGACTCACAGCACCAATGTCCAGGACAACACCCCGCCACAGCGACGTAAAGTGTACTAATGCGCATTAGAAGCACTGCTAGGTAGGGAAAGCAGAAAATGTACCAAGTTAGGGGAAATTCCTCGCGCCACTGTGGAGCCGCCAACTGTGTATTCCAAGATGAGTCCCCAACCAATGACCCACGCGACTCTGAGAAGTACCACTCAAGTGTCAATACCTCAAATTGTTCGTGCAACGTGAATAAAACTGGAAATCCACAGAAGATTTCGTCTTCGTCTTCGATTCAACCACTAATCCCGTGCAATAAAGTTCGGCACATACCCTTCACCGACACATGTGTACGCATAATGATAAGCACTGCCAGCAGAAGGGCACCGGCTTGAGAGCTCCGCATAGCAAAGGGCAGCAAGTGTTGCAGCAATGCCCGCAATCAAGAAAGATAGTGTGAGCGCCGGTCCAGCTCGCTCCCTCGCTACAGTGCCCACCAGCACGTACACCCCCGCGCCAATCGTAGATCCAATCCCTGTCATGCCATATTCCCAAATCAGTCGTCTTCTGACTTATTTGACTTTTGCAAATTTTGCTAACTCTCTCGTCGTGTACCGTGTTTCTGATCTTCAAGTGGTTCAATTCAGGCTGCAGAATAGGAAAAGAAAACCACCTGGGAGACGAGCCCCAGTTCCGGGATCAAATCTGTGACGAAACTTTTGCGGAAAGCTTAGAACAGGGGTAAAAACGGTGTAAGAATCTTAGAGCAGAATCCGAGCACTTCCTTTCGCTTGCAGATATTTGTCGTCTTCGATACAACTAAGTCAGCTCATTCTGAAACTCCCAGCATCTCGAAAATAAAACAAAATCATCTGACCAGAAATCTGTGAAAAGAGTAATTGCGGTCGGTAGGACCGCGTGCGTAAAGTTTACAGATTTCCAGTCTCGCTTTCGGAGAAGTGGCCAAGTTCTTGCATGTGCTCCCTAACCCTGTTCAAGACATGTGAAGCTACAAGAATTCTGGCATGGAAAGGGCGGGACAGAAGATGGGCGATCAAGCAAGTCACAAACCTATGGAGACAAGGTCAGCAATTTTAAGATGCTTAGCCAGTTGAATCCCGCCGTGTCGCGTCTGATGCACCTGCTTCCGTCTCCATATCGACGAAGACCCCTCCTTCCCCATACTCGCCACTCACACCTGCCCAACCTCCCTCTCACAGCAACACACTCGTGGACCGTCTCTGAGCCGCCACTGCCACACCTCACCCGCCACAACCTCCTTCCTCCATCCAATGCCGCGACTTCACCCCCCAAACTTCACTACTGATGCCACACTGCAATCCTCGGAGAAAACCGCACCCTTACAATCCACCCAAAATCCTACGACCAACACCCCTCACATTCACACAACCAAACAGATGGGACCCTCGGTCCACCTTCCAGTGCGTTCTGAATCTAGACTGAAGCTGTCCACACCCCACAGCTCAGAAATTCGTCCCACCTGCTACAATAGCACAACCCTCGACTGTAAAAGCGCCAGAGCCTTCTGACGAACAAACTAGCATCCTTCGCACGCACAATGCAGACGTCTCAATCGCCGGCCCGAAGCTGCAGGAACTAGAAGGAGCTATCACCCTTGAGTCGCAAACCCGCTACGCCTCCAAGGAGTGGCCCGTACACAAAGGCTCCAAATATCCACCCAAACCCACCTTCCATAGAATTCTGCTATGACCTCTTTCCCCCACCAGGACTCTGGACCGCATCAAGCACCCATTACACTCAACCAAGGTTTTACTCCATCGATCGTGGTTCAAGACCGTTTGACTCCATCGTAAACTCTGTCGCAATGGCACCCGAAAGCTAAACGCACCCACTTCGGAGGACCACACGCGCATCCCACGCGAGACGGTTGTGGCGGCCCTGGACGGAATCTAGCCTTTCGATTCTGCCACATCCCTTCCCACGATATGTACTGCTGCACACCGTAAGAATCAATCCGGCGCCCCTCCCCCGCCCCCCGCACCTTTTTTGCCCCATCTTCGGGGAATTCGCGTGCTCCGGTAATCTTCCTTTAGTGGGAGGTGTGTGGTCGGAATGCTCGCCTCCTCGATGGAGATTCTTCATCTATCAAATATTCATCATTCATTCATTTAGAGGATGAAATATTCTTTTTTTATTTCTCTGGTGTTAATGATTCGGTCCATGCAAGCGGGGAAACGGGACGCTGATTGGACAAGAACAAGCAGTCCTCCAGAATAGGACAACGCCGTGGTGAGCCACGTGGAAAAGCCACTTTGAAATGAAAACACATTCACAATTCATCATCCCATTGTTTCACATCGCCGGATCGAATCTCGTCAAGCTCACGTCAGCGAAAGCCCCCCACGCTGATAGTGTTTCAAGTAATTTCGAAGAAAGCTTCGTTGAAAGGAAAGGCTTTGGGTGATTCTTCCTCTGAGTATTCTAGCCACTGGTAATCCTCAAGTAGCCTACGAAATTGCCTCTTCTTACCAACAGCCAAAACAAAAGTAGATGGAACCTTCTTCAGCAAAAGTGAATATTCTGTTAAATCGGGAATGTTTATCTTGCAGTTAACCAAACTTCGAAGAGCCTGGATCCAACCAAGCCTTTGCTGAAGTGCAGAAGTGGTGGTGGCCTTGTGTGGTCTAAAAAGGCATCTAGTGGCCTCAACCGGCCTGGTAGGTGCTCTCTGGATTGGATTGGGTCCTAGGGAATGAGATTCTACACTTGTGAAGAATTTGGGGCATAATCAGCACAGTAGCAAATGCTCCAAATTTTGGAGGGGAAGGAAAGGAGAGAGTCAAGGAACCCATCTCAAGCATTTTAACATTTTTAGAGTTTTCCAAAGTGGAGAAAAGTGAACAAAAGGTAGATACTTCCCCAATCGAGAAGGAGATAGTTGCATGAAGCTGCTTCTGAAAGGAGGGATGGTGTGATGAGTTTTGGGTACTGACCTAGGCAATGAAGTTACATCTACTTTTCATGATATTTGCATTGTAAATTGTCACATTAATGTACGTGTATGTATTGAGATCATTAAATGTAGCCGCCGCTCTCCATAATATTTAATATAGACTACAATAAATACTATAGCTATAGTATTTATAGTCTAGTGGAGAAGTACTGTTTATTTTCTCCCCTTTTCTCTTCTTGTACACGAGACAAAACTAGATCAATAGATTTTTTATGTGTGAAGCTTTCTCTCCTTAGAGACCCTCTTGTGTATATGACTTACTACTACTCTTGTGTGTGTATATGACTTACTATTATTCTTATGTCTTTCTAAACATTCTCAACACGTTATCAGTATGACTCTCTTCTACACACTATTACAATTTTTTTTGCTCTAGTCTTGACTTTTCAAACCTGTTGCTACTCTTGTTCAATATCTGCTTCATGATCTTATTACTCTTCTTGCTCGCCCCTCACATATTACCTGCTCGCTTAAAGCACTTGTTCTACTCTTTGCCATGCTTGCTTAGAATACTTATTTAGAATATTTGATCCAGCCCAGCTCCACCCTAGCTTGCTCCCTGCTGCACCTCGCGCCTGTTGTTGAACTGCCGCCAAACCTGCCACTGCCACCCTATCGTCGCTGATGCTATTGTTCGCCGTTGCTCGCCATTGCTGTCTGCCGCTGCCACCCACTGTTGCCCACCATTGCCACCTTGCCACCCTACTACTACCGCCCTACCACTACTTGTTGCCGCCATCTTATTGATATTCTGCTGCCTTAATCCACAACCTTGTTAATATATATATATATATATATATATATATATATATATATAATTTTTATTTTTCAAGTTCAAGTTTATCATTTTATTTGACTTTATATTTTAAGGTACGTTTTAGTCAACTTTTCTACTTGATCTTGTATTTTCTTTACAGATTTATTTATAATGAGTGCTTCAACATCTTCAATTCTTTCTACTATAGTTCCAACTATTACCAGTGCATTCCAACATTTTCAAACTCTTTCATTTCTAGCATTGATTGTGGATAGAAACAATTATTTATTATGGATAAAAATAGAAAAAGCAAATTTTATTTGCAAAACAACTCTTAGATGTCATTATGTTTGAAGAATCTCCAACAATTGTCACGGACATACATATAATTACCTATATGAATAGATAAAAGTATGTAAAAGTAGATAAAAGTAGGTTAATTGTGTAATATCTTCTAGAGAAGCTTCTTAGAAGCTTCATAGACGCTGCTTTGACTTTATAGGAGTCTATAGTTGACTTTTAGGCTAGAAACTTGGTCAACAAGTTAGCCATGTGCCACACATGTTGGAAGCTTAAAGAAGAAGCTAACTACGTGGTCCATCCATAGAAAACTTGCCTTGCAAGCAAAGGCATGTGGCCTAGAAAGTCAACATATATTGGAGGTCTTATAGAACATTGCCACGTGGCTTCTAGTTAGATAGTATATATAGAGGCAAGAGTGAAGCCCTCTTCACTCTTGTCAACTCCTTTCTTGCTTCTAATCTAGTTTCAAGGGTCTCTAGTTTTCTTGTATTTTGGCAATAGCCATTCCAGTTTCTTTCTTAATATACATATTTCTATTTTGTCCTATTTCTTTTTGAGAAAAGTCTCACTTACTCTTTAGCTTTCATCGAGTTCTTGTCCTTGACAACAATAAGTATTTCTATACCTCCTGCTATTTGTTGGAAAGCACTTCTTCTCCTTCGTCGTCATCTTGTACTTGCATTACAACATCAATATTTAGAAATGGAATATCTTGCAAAACTTTGGAAGAATCTTAAATCTAGGTTTGATCATCAAAAGACCATTTTTCTTCCACCTGCACATCATAATTAGATACATTTATGTGTCTTGGATTTTCCAAATTTAAATGCTTTCAATAGTGAAATGTATAGTATTGTCTAACAATTATGATTATGTGGACAAAGCATTTTTGAAGAAGAAATGATTGAGAAAACTCTCTCTACATTTCCTCATGTATCTCCTATGCTTACACATCAATATAGGAATGTGAAATTTCAGAGTCATTCTGATCTCATGTCATATCTATATCTTACAGAGAAGCAAAATGAACTACTCTTACGTAATGTGGAAGCTCGTCCTATTGGAACTATAGCTCCAGAATCTCATGCAATTAATATTTCAAAGTCTAAGAAGAAATTATATAAACAAAGGAAACGTGCTCATAAGTATTAGGGTAGTCATAGTCATGACCATATCTACTCATATAGAAAGAATAAATGTTCTACTATTAATTATAGTAGAAAAAAAAAATCCGAGATATATTCTTGCCATAAGTGTGGAATGATTGGACATTTAGCACATGCGTGTCGTATTTTAGAATATTTTATTAAAATATTCCAAAAAAATAAGAAATTGCGAGTTGAGGTTAATGAAATTCATACCATGGATGCGTCAATGGATTCGATTGGTGTTGATGACTTGGAGGCTTATATGAATGACAAAACCTCTAATGATGAATCAATTGATGCACTCATTGATTCTGCAACAACACATACTATCTTGCAAGATAAGTGATTTTTTATTGAAAAATATTCAACTTGGTAAACTAAAAATATGATGACCATGGCTGGAGCAAATACGTTTTGTTTCCAAGAGGACACATCGATGGTAAAATTACCTACAGATTCTACCATAAAATATAAACATGCGATGTTTACACCCTCAGCAACTCGGAGTCTGATCAAATATCGAGATGTGCATATTAATGGTTATCACCTCTCGACCACCATTTTAAATAAAAAAGAGGTTTTGGTTCTTGCGAAGAACCATAAAGTTGTTGAAAAAACTTTTGCTACAGAAAATAGTTTATATCGAATTGTGATTCGGCCTCCCATTATATTTAATTTTGCATCATCTATCACAAAGAGTCGTGTTTCTCTCTGGCATGGACGATTGGAACATTTAGGATCCACATTATTTAGAAAGATCATTCTATGTATAACTGGGTACAATTTAAAGCCTGCTAATGTAGACTCTATAGAATTATGTCGTACATGCATGCAAGATATAATGATTACTTGGTCTTAAATTTAGAAACTTCCACAAGAATTACCACCAATACTTGAAAGATTACATGGTGATATTTATAGTCCTATTAATCCAATATTAAGACCATTTTATTTTTTTTTGGTCCCTGTAGATGCATCAGGTAAACAATCACATATTTCATTATTATCAACTTGAAACATGGTGTTTGCCAATCTTATATCTATGCTTATTCATTTTTGGGCATATTTTCCTGATTATCCTATAAAAATATTGCGTATGGATAATGCAAAAGAATTTGCATCAAAGTCTTTTGAAGACTATTGTACTGCAACAGGAATTGAATTGATATATTGTGTTCTATATAAATATGCTCAAAATGGACTTACAAAGTCATTTATAAAGCGTATGCAAGTCATAACCTGGCCACTCCTTCTTCACGCAAATTTACCTACATCTATGTGGGATTATGTAATTTTACATGCTGCAGCATTAATACGCCTCCGCTCTTCTTCTCTTGAAATTTTTTCACTACATGAGTTCATTTTGGATCCTGTTCCAAATGTATCTCACTTACGATTATTTGGTTACTGTGCTTGGGTTCTAGTACCAGAACCTCAATGGCGTACCATTGGAGCTCATCGACAAGAAGGCATACATGTTGGTTTTGATTCACCAAGCATTATTCGTATTGTTGATCCATCAACTCACACATTATTACATGCACGTTTGTAAAATTTTCATTTTGAAGAAAATGTATTCCCATCTCTTCAAGGAAGAGTATCCAATCAACAAAGAAATAATGTACTCATATTTGAAGTACCAAAAATATTTACATTGAATCCTGATCCTATGACATCTTTGGCAAAAAGTAAAATTGCTAAGATTTTGTATCTAAAATGGATCGCGGATGAAACACTT